TTCCAGGGTATCCCCGTCCAGCCTATCGCGCCGGCCGCGATACGCGCGAAAGCGTCGTTGCCATATACGGCGGCGCGGTCCTCGGCGGAATACGTGGTAATGTCTTTCTCGGCGTGTGCTTGGTATATATCCAGGAGTGTACTATTGCAGAGGAAGAACGAGGTGGTGTTTACTTTATCCCCTTTATCCTGGAGGACGGTGAAGTTGGTGCAGCGGGGGCCGCAGAAGGCGGGGACGGAAGCGGTCCAGGTGACGGAGCCGCTGGCGGCTTCGGTGAGGTAGTATTGCGAGTATTCTTCTTCGCCGGGCCGGCGCGCGTTGACGTACATGCCTTCGTCGCCGGCGTCGACGACGGTGCCGTTGCCGACTTCGAGTTGCTCGCAGGTGGCGTGGGCGGAGACGTTGCGCGAGGAGCTGAGGTAGTTGGTGTAGGGGTGTGCTGGGTCGCGGTTGAAGAAGCGGTAGTGGTACATGCCATTTGCTTCGTAGATGGGGGTGCCGGGGAGGCCAGAGAGGTCGTATTGGATGTCGCTGAGATTGAAGACGGGGTAGGCCATTGCTTCTGTGCCGAATGTCCATGCAGCTTCCAGGGAGGTTTCGTTGGCGAGGCTGTTGGGGCCGTCTTCGCGGGGGCTCTCGTCGACGTGCCAGACGTTTAGGTTTGCGACGCTGACATTGCCAGGGACGAAGAGTGGGATGGCGGAGTTGTCCATGGGCCAGAAGAGACTGAGCAGCGCGACGAGGATCTGAGACCCGATGTTGATGGAGAGCCACACGAGACATGCGAGCCACATCCACTTGGTGCCGTCGTCGCGTACATCCTTGAACCAGCGGAATCGGCGTAGCCATTTCTTGCCGCGGAGCCCAGGCATCGAGATGACCATGAGTTTGGCGACCCTGGCGAGCGAGCCAAAGTGGAGGATAAGGTCGAACACCTCGAGGCTGACGTACCGCCGAGCGAGGAACGACCATCGGAAGAAGGAGGCGTAGTGCTTGAGCGAAGCCAGGAGGTTGAGACCTAGACAGAGAGAAAGGCCAATGGTGAGCGAGTTGAAGATTCGAACGTCGTTCTTGGACAGCACAACGGGATTGATGAAGCCCTCCCAGGCTCGGAGGGTGAAGCACATTGCTGCGCTAAAGAAGAAGGTTATCAAGAGCCGCCCAGCGCCGTTTCTTAAAAGATTTCTTCGTGCTTCGTTGTGATCAAAGCGCTTGGCATGGTGGTGGTTATGACGCTGTTTCTTGGGCTGTAGTCCACCCTCTAGGTCCAATGCTGTAGTGCTTATCTTCGCATATGCACCGTTTTTAGTCTCTATTATCTCTGGAGAAGCGACAGTGGGTGGCGAGTAGAGTGAGCTATCGATTTGTTGCATGGCGACATTTCCACTGTCGTAGCTTGTTGTGTCGGTGGATGCTATTAGCGGCACATCGTCGTCGTGTGCGTTGCTGATTGCGCGACTGCGCTCCATCTTGCCTGTAAGAGACCAATAGGGCGGGGCTTTGAGTTACGAGTTTCGATTCTGAGTTTCGATACTAAAATCTACGTAAAGGTATAGTCCTAGCATATGTTAGGAGAAGTACAAAGGATCAGGATCTCAGCCTGTGGGGCTGACGGAAAGCTGCATACAAGTCTGATTTCGATGGTCAACCAGATTAAGTTGTATTCATGAAGCTTGTGTGAGTATGCGTGGGTCGAGCGGAGAAATACAAGATGCAGCGTCGTTGAAGAGGGTCGCCCCGAATTATAGTAGAGAGTCTGATTGAGGAGCAGAGCAACGATTGCGATGAAGATAGGTCTTAAACAAAATACGCCGTCCTTATCGACTCTTCGTCCTATTCCACTAGCCATCGCGTCCGGGTGCTGGGGTCGGAATTGGGGGCTGAAATGGGGTGGGTGGCCTGAGGAGGCGCACCCCCAAGGCTCTCTCGCGTTCGACCTAAACAGGCTGAAAAGTGCGTAGATTGTGACTGGAGAGTAAGCCCAAAGTTACCACGGTACGCGCAAGCACATGATGGGTGGAGAGATATTTTTATCTTTGCAGGTCTTTTGTTTGCAGAACTACACGATCACTAGCACATCGATACAGCCCCCCTACCCCACCACCAGGTATCACAGAGTTGGACTCCCAGCACAATCTCAAAGGCTGTGAAGCATATACTAGAAGTAGAAAGCCGTGCAACCAGGGACTTTATTGTTAGACCATGCAATTTGGTGGCCGCGAGACGATTTGACAAGGTGGATCCTGCCGTCGTGCATTTGTACTGGCGCAGCCACGTTGAGAGATCGTGTGGGGGCGGAAACAATCACTACACGCTTGACGTGACAACAACAAATCGCGTAGTTGCGAAGAGGGCCTTCGGAAGCTTGAGTCCGGTATGGTTGGGAACATATGGAGGCGTGCCAGGAACACATTGAGGTCTGCATAATCAATGCGAGTCGTGGTGGGAGGAAAGACTATCAACGGCGTTGCCAGATGTGGGAGGTGACAATCATGAATTTGGCATTTGTGTGCGTGTAAGCATCACCCATTTGTGGTACAAAGGCATAGAAGTGTTGGTTGTGGCGCACTACATCTGTTTCAAAGCAGTTTTGAAATGGTGGACGTAGTTCATCATGCAGGAAACTTGAAGGATACGCTGGGCATGTGTAGACGATGTTACTAAAGTGGGTCCATAACACCAAGGCGAACCGCACGTTTTCAGGTGTTCAAAAATCCTGCAACATAACTAGACTATCAAGCATTCGCTAAATGACTTGACACTATCCCGTATCCAGTACACGGTGCGTGGTCCGGATATATTCCCTAGTCAGCAAAAAACAAATCAATGCTATCATCCGTGGCCGGATAGATCATCACTTCCCCACATATGTACCACAGGATGACAAATGTAATACGGAGACCAGGCGTGCAGTCTAGTGCATACACCGACGAAAAAGACAACTGATTGGTATTTCAACCCCTCTTCCAATTCTATCATCCACAATCATTCACCATCGACCACCAGCAACCATGTCCTCACCAAAAGTCATCCTCTTCGACCTCCCCAGTAAACAAGGCACAACCTGGTCTCTGAACCCTTGGAAAAGTACGTCCCCTTAACTCACTCAACCCAAAATCAAAATCTTAAAATACTAAACAATCGCCCTCACAGCCCGCATGATCCTCAACTACAAATCCATCCCCTACAAAACTGAATGGGTCGAATACCCCGATCTCGCCCCCAAATTCAAATCATTAGGCATCCCTCCCAACCCAAAGGACGCCCCAGGCTACTTCGCCGACTACAGCAGCCCAGCAGTCCAGTATGAAGATGGCACATACCAAATGGACTCGTGGCCCATTGCGCATTCCTTCGAGAAGCAGTATCCGAATCCTCCCCTTCACCTCGATGAGCCGGTTGTAGTCAAGATCCGAGATACAATTAAGGAATTGATGACACCGCTGGTTCCCTTGGTACTAACGCAGGTACCTGATGTGCTGTTGAATGAACCTAGTGCAAAGTACTTTACGGAGACGAGAGAGAAGATCTTTGAGAAGCCGTTGGGTCAGATGCGGGCGGAGGCTGATGTGGAGAAGTGCTGGGCTGATGCTGCTGTGCCGGCGAAGGCTGTGGGGGATTTATTGAGGGAGAAGGAAGGTCCATTTTTCTTGGGGGAGACTGGTGAGTTGCATACGACTTTGTGTCGGAGAGATTGTGCAAGGCTAACGCGGTGATGTAGTGTCGTATGCGGATTTCATTTTTGTGGGTTTGTTGCAGATGCTCAAGCGGATTGACCAGAGTGTGTTTGAGAGGTATTTGGCGCTTGATGAAACGTTTCCTAAGGTTTTTGAGGCGTGCCAACAGTGGATGGAGAAGCAGGATTAATGTGGGGGTTGTGAAAACGAACAAAGACATTGAGGTTGGAAAAGTAAGATATGGTTTGTCTATAAATCTATCATGTCATATATGCTCCCCACGTACGAACAATGGTATACCAGTCCTTTCCAAGATATATACAACGTTGCATACCTTGGGCCTGTACGTCACAGAGCCGTCTTTCTCATCAACTTGCGCTGGAGATTCTACATCGTCGATTTCGCGGCGTTCGACCAAGCGCCACAAGTCAGCAGGATGCGGGAACGTCATACCTTTAGGAACCACATCTGATGCAGCATCAAGTACATCAAAGCGGTCTTGCGAGTACGACAAGGCTATCCAGCGGGCTCCGGGCTTTGTCACGAGTGCCAAGTTGACTGCCATGACAGCCAATGGGTGTATGGGTTCCTTAGACACAGCTGAACTCAGCTGCACGGGATCATGGGAGCGGATTGCTACGGGATATGGCACTGGGACAGATATATCGTCGCAGCAAGCAATGGCATCAGACGTCGATTTGTCGACTACAACAGAATACGAAGCACGTGAGCATGCACGCAGCAAAGACTTGTAGTCGAGGAGATCGACAACATCCCAACGCATACAAGGCGCATGAGTACCTTGGGTGTTGCCTTTTTGCTGGCTCTGATACTGGTATATTTCTTCTTCGCGGGCCTTGCCAATCTGTATGGCCACGTCGGAGTAGTCCACGTTGTGGATCTGGCCCGGGTGGTCTACGTGGGAACGCAAATGCAAAGAGAGTAATGATGTCCCACAGCCTATGTGCAGAATCTCGGGTTTGTCCGCACGGCTGGAATCCAGAGCATCGACAAGGTACGGATCCAGGGCATTGGGTTCTTCCAGCCAATCAAAGGGATCCATGTTGGATGTGAAGCGCTCGTCCCAGTAGGCCTGGGATCCAAAAGAGGGTGGGGGATTGGAAGGCATTGGTAACAAACTAGAAGGAATTGGGGTCCGAACTATGTGTATTGCGTGGGTATGTCAAATATGTCATGTGTAAAGATGAAGCAAGGAAGAAGAGAAGAAGTACAAAGATGGGCCGGCCCGAGCTTTCTCCGCGCATCTGAAGATCTTTGGAATCCCCACGACCATGTGAACTTACCTACACACCCACACAACCCATGGCTACCCTCGAATCAATACCACGCTTCCTCCTCCCGCGGGGGCATCTCCTCCTGCGAGTGAAACCCCGCGCATTCGCTCAACTCCCCGCTCCAGCCACCCACCGCCGCCATGCCTCGTCCATTTCACCAAAAGGCCTCTCCGAAGAGTTTCGAAGACGGCGAGAGGCACAGCAGGCCAGAGGCACGCCCGTGATACCCCAGCCCGATAAATACCGTCCGCCCTCGCACAGCAAACGCGCGCCCAATCGCCAATTGGAGAACAGAGTCTATGGAGCGCCTTTGTCCGAGGAAGACCGCAAGCGCATGGCAACCAAAAAATACCCCAATATGATGAGTCCCGAGGGCACCTTTTCGCATTGGTTTCTGCATAACCGCGCAATTCATCTGTGGATCACAATGGTGTGTTTTGCGTTGTACCAATCTCTATACAACCCCCACTGACCCCACTTCGCAGGGCATTCTCGTTTCTCTCGCAATAGCAGCATGGTACATGGATTTTATCTCCAAGACCAGTTTCGCCCATTTACTCCCTACCCGCAAAGACTTTATGCGCCACCCTATCGAGTCATCCTCACGCTTCGTGGAGGTCTACAAGATGCATATGGAGCATACGTCGCAGATGTATCAGCAGCAGCGGCTGAAGAAGGCAGAGGAGATTGAGAAGAGGAAACAGTACAGGCTCGAGAGGCAGAGAGAGGCAGAGGAGAAGGGCGAGGAGTATGTTGAGGACCCGAGGTATTATGTGGGTGAGGATGGTATTCGTAGGAGGAGGGTCAAGAGGTGGTTTGGTATCTGGGAGTGAGGGCGGGGTTTGCCATGTTCTCGGGCATGGTGAGACTCGGTATCAAAGTGAAAGATGTTGAGGGAGCACTGTACCGCGGCAGTGGGTGGTGTTGGGCAGTCACAGCGACAGGTAGGGACGAATGGGAAAGTCGAATTGTAGACTGCGTCGAGCAGTTCTGTTTCAAGAGATGTACGTTACGACATGTAAAATATAAACCATTAAGCCTGTGCAGCAAATCGCACCTGCATCTTTTCATCAAGAAACTCTACTCTTCGTCATCCTCATCCCCCTCCAACCCTCCCATACTTCATCCCCAGGCGCCATCCCCTTCTCCACCCCCTCAATCCCACAAAGTTCATCCACTTCCCTTGGCACTTTCCAATCCTTCATCCCCTCCACTCCCGTCGCAAAAACCATCATAAGCCCCGCCTCAGTATGCCACCCAATATGACAATGAAACGCCCACACGCCCGGGTTATTCGCCACGAAACTAATAAGCAACCACCCGTACGCCTCTACGGTCGCCGTGTCCCTTCTTAGCGGATTCGTCATGTCGAAATTTTGCTCGTGGAGGGGCAAAGGAGGGTACCCGTGTCCTTGAGCTAGTATGAAGAATTTGTAGCCATGCAGGTGGAAAGGGTGGGCTCCGTCGTCGAAGTTTTGGATTAGGATGGTGATTGTTGATGTGAGAGAGGTGGTTTGATAGCTTAGTTGCTTCTCTTGTGATATTAAGGGTGAAAAGCCATCATGGAGTGTTTCTGTGCTGTTAGTGGTAGAGGAGGAGTACGAGGGAAGCAGGGTTTGAAGAAGCGGCGCAGTGCTGTTTATGTGGAAGGAACTGTCATTTAGGTAGCCCCGGGTGAGGCGCCATTCGCGGGTTTGGAATGAGGAGCGGAGGGACAGAGTGTGGTCTGGGTCTATGGGGGGTGCTGCGATGGGGATAGTGGGGACGAGGAGGGAGGTGTTTAAGTCGCGGCATTCGACGTCGATGATTTCAGGCCAGTCTTTGCTTTCTGGTGCTGGAGTTTGGTCGTAGCCTATGCTGAGGGGAGAAGAATAAGATAGTACGGCTCGGGCTTCCTCTTGTAACTCGGGTTCTTCGTATGCAAAGCAGTGCGTTATCATTCTCGCTCTGATCCAATATGATCCCTTATTTCCCTGCTCTTGCTTCGGCGGAGTGAGAATGATGCTATATCGCTGTGCAGGACTAATGTTCAACCGATGAAAACTCATGGGTACCACATCCGTGCCATCGACTTCTGTAACAAACACCTCGTGTTCATCAATCTGCAGCGCGAATTCTGCAAATGCACTAATGTTGATAACGCGAAGTCTCGTCTTGGTATCTGGGGAAACATTAAACATCGCATTATGCCGGCCTGTAGCATCGCATTCCCTGCCCGGCAAGTCATCACATCTACGCATTCCGCGCCCATTGATAAGCGCAGCCTGCGGAACCGGCTCGTCATTTTCGCTTCCAGGTGCCAGATATCGCTGCAGCAAGACCGAAGAACTGTCGTAATAATGATCTGAAAGCATGACCACGCGATCCTGGGCATACTCCATCTTTTGTAAAGCCTCTCCCCCGTTTCGCCCGTGGATTATCAGCGGTCCAACCAGCCCATCTGACGCTTGCATACTAGCATGCGAGTGATACCAATACGTCCCCGATTGCCCCGAGACGCGGAATCGATACGTAAATGAATGACCAGGCGCAATAGGACATTGTGTCACGCCTACTGTGCCGTCCATCCAGTTTGTCCCGTTTTGATATAGGCCATGCCAGTGTATGGATGTTGCGTTGCTGGCGTGATTATGGATGTGCACAACGATTTCGTCCCCTTCATTGCATTCAATCAAGGGCCCAGGGAAAGTAGCGTTGATGAGTGTCATGGAGCGGTAGACGCCGTCCGGGTTGAGCGTATGGTCTGAGATTATCCATGTGTGTTCGCGTATTGTGGGTGGCGCGTTGAAGTCCCATGTTGGGGAGAGGATGTAATCTTCTTCTGGCCGAAGACTTGTTGTGTTGGGGGCTGTGGGTGATGTCTGAGCCGAGGATTTACTTATTAGAACTTTATGTGTGAGGACAAGGAGTATGCATATTAGGAGGATAAGAACAAAAACGATCTTGATCCAATGCCGCCGCCGTGTGTCATGTTGCGTATTTCTGATTTTTTTACTCCAGCCTTGCTCTTGCTCTTCTTCTGAGAAATCATCGTCATTTGTGTCATCGTATTTAGAGTCGTTTAATAGGCCAATCTGCTCTTCCATCTCCCGCGGAGCCGTGTCGGGCATGTCCTTCATGTGGAAACTCTGGCCGTAACCCATGATGAGTATCTTGCCAAATTTTCCTCTCCAATATCTCGGATAGGGAACGGTACTGTTAACATGTAATCGACAACGTCTAGCGTTGCTAAGTTGAGTCGAGGTAAACCAATAAGCAAGGGTCAGTCCATCATGTTTCCCATGGTCCCTTAGAATCAAGAATCCGAAAATCCATGACTTCCCTCGCCACTCGTACGAAATGCACAGGGATCGCCACTCACATGTCGTTCAGGGCCCCTGATCAACTCTCGTGCGCATGTCATGTTCTATCTTTTGTGTGCGTCCTGCAATACCCGCCAACTCCTCTAATCCAATCAGCCCCGCACGTTCAGATGCGGGATCCACATAAAGCTTGTCGACCTTCCTAAAAAGCTTGGCCTTGTGTATGTATGCGGGCCGCTTGTTCTAGCAATATGCCACGGGCGAATTATCGACATGCTAATTGGCTCTGATGATATTAACACTACTGCAGGAAGTACCCCAGTGGGAGCCACTTGATGCCGTGTAACCAGAAAATATTGAGAAAAAGACGGGCGACGTCCAAACTTTCTTAAGATGTTTGTTGGGATCTGAGGTTATTCTTGGTAGTGTTTGTGAGTAAGTATAGGGGTCCATAAATACAAAGTAGTATGTAAGTTAAACCCTGACATACTTGACAGATCTACACTATTGCCATGAAAACTCCGTTCATCCTCTCGCTGGCTCTTTTGGCAAACCTGAGCCTCGTTTCTGCCCAGACAACCGTCAAAGGCAAGGCGTTCGACCGCATAGCTATAATATGGCTTGAAAATACAGACTACGATCTCGCAGCCGGCGACCCAAGCCTGGCATGGCTGGCGAAAAAGGGCATCAGTCTGACGAATTACTTCGCCGTCACACATCCTTCCATGCCCAACTACGCAGCCGCGATATCCGGTGATTACTACGGCATCAACCACGACGACATGGTCGCCATTCCTTCTAACGTCTCCACCCTGGTTGATTTACTGGAGGCCAAAGGAATCAGCTGGGGTGAGTACCAGGAGGACATGCCATCTGTCGGCTTCCAGGGAAAATCATATCCAAACCCAAAAACTGGAGCGAACATGTACGTGAGGAAACACAACCCAGCCGTGTTATACGATTCAGTAGCGCAAAAAGCGGACCGGCTGGCCAAGACAAAGCCATTGACCATGTTCAAATCGGACCTGGAAAACAACAAATTACCGCAGTGGATGTTCATCACACCCAACATGACTAGCGATGGTGAGTCTTCCGCACGACCATGTTTTTAGCACTCTTGAATAGCCATACTGACAAAAATCCCAGGCCACGACTCCACCGTCACAGTCGCCGGAACCTGGACCCGAAAATTCCTCGAACCCCTACTAACCAACAAAACTTTCATGAACAACACCCTCGTCCTCGTTACCTTCGACGAAAACCACACGTACGGCAAGCAGAACCGCGTCGTGGGCATCTTACTCGGAGACGCCGTGCCCGCCAGCCTCGTCGGCACAAGCGACAACACGTATTACAACCACTACAGTGAGATTTCCACCGTACAGGCAAACTGGGGTCTCGACACCCTGGGCCGCTGGGACGTAGGCGCCAACGTGTTCAAGTTTGTAGCTGAGAAGACGGGGGATGCAGTGCGAGCGTGGTCTGGCAAGGTGCCGCTAAGTAACATGTACTTCAATGCTTCGTATGCGGGCAAGCTGAACAACAAGAACGCGTCTGTGCCGTGGCCAGTGCCGAATACGGATGCCGTGTATGCGGGGAGAAACGTGTTGCCGGCGATTGCGGATGTGTGGGGGAAGCAGGTTGGTCGATCTGCGTATACGACTGCGTTGGAGATTCCGGATGGGATGCATCCTGAGGCTGAGTTTAAGTAGTAGTGGGATATTTCAGATTGTGTATATACAGAGATTGACGGTCTGTGGCTTCTTACGCCCCAGCACTGATATATTATACTGCCCATTGCTTGCGAACCGCAGCTTTGGCTTCTTTACTCTTCAAAGTCCTCCGCAGCACCGCGCCCACGATTTGTATCCTACACACATCTGCATACGCCCCCTTTCCAATCTCCTCAGGCCACATATCCGGATGCAAAATCGTATACTCAGCAAGTTCTCCATCTTCCACTTGTTTTAGCTTTTCCAGGAAAGCGTCATGTCCAGGGTCGGCAGTCGGTATCGCGACACCCGTGTATACAACGATGAATCCGTTCGAACTTAAAAGCTTGAAACCTTCTTCCACAATACGAATCGAGATATCCAAACCGAAACCTGCACCGCCATCTGCATAGATAGGCAAATCCTTGCCGTCGACACTAGAAGCTATGTACGGCGGATTACTCACAATGAGATCAACGCCTCTTCCCTTCATCTCCTCAGGCAAAGCAGCATACAGATTTGACTCGGAGAAATCAACATTCACTCCTGCCAGTTGCGCATTGATACCGCCCAGGCTCAGTGCTTGGGGATTCAGATCTAGACCTAGCACTTTGGCCTGCGGGTAGGTTCGTGCCATGTGGATCGCTCCTGCGCCAGATCCGCAGCATACATCAATGACCGAGCTTGGCGCTTGCGGGAGATGCCGCGGTAGGGTCTGCAGGAACGAAATAAAAAGATACGTGTCCGGGCCGAAGAATACGGAGTTGGAGGAGGCGGGGAAGGAAGAATGGATATAATAAAGTGAGGTGGTGTCCGAGTCGCGGTTAAGAGGGTCTGGTAGGTAGAAGTTTGACACGCGGATGGTGGAACGGTAGGTTTTGCTATTATCTTCGATAATGACTGAGGCTTTGCATAGTTGGTCGAAAATTGCATCGGGTATTATGGATTTGAGTGTTTCTCTAGAAGGGCATTAGTCTCGTTTGGAATGTCATTCTGCATAGCGCGTAGCGGAACTTACCTCGTGCATGATAGATTCCACCCAAAGAAATCCGATGCAGTCTGCGCGTCTTCTGTCGAAACATTTGAGCGTCTTTTTTGCACTACTCTGCCTTGAGTTTCTGGCGAGGGGCATACAAAGATATAATTTGATTCCGCCAAGTGTTGAGTAAGTGCCTGAAAAGCGGTCGATTCCGTCATGACCGCTAGAATAATTCAATTGTTGTTCCGTGGAGGAATTTGTAACGCAACGTGAGCAGAGGCGCGGCCGTTTTGTCTAGACTGAAGCGCGTGGTTAAAATGAATGGCATGTAGACAGGCACACTACGCCGCGGAGCGTAGGACGAGTCAATGTGACGTCGAGTTTCTGTAATAGACTAGGATGACGAGGTTTACTTTTAACTTGCTCGCGTCTTGGCCTACGACAATAAAAAATCATTCTCTGAAACGCGATGCCGTACAGAGTAAATGCGAATGGAGAATGCAAAGAGCATCTGCTTTTTTGACGGAGAATCGCGCTAAACTGGTGTAAAGATGCTAGTATGTGCAAAATGGGCAATGATGGTGGCAGAAATAGACATTTTATGCATTGCGGGGTGCGTGCTGGCTAACCTCATGTCGTCTAGCTTACGATCGTATGGGTCCGCGACGATATTGACACGGCGGGTACCAGCTGAATTGTACACCGTCACCGTTGGCAGCATGATTTGCGCGGCGCACCTACCCGCAGATCAATCTTCCGCCACATCTGGACCGACTACCATGGAGAACAAATGTATAACATTCCCCGATGGCCGGCTTAAGGGTTCACTTGTACCTGTAGACATTACAAAACATAACACTGCCACGCCACGCCACAATGTATATTCTTCAAACAACCACGGCTGTTTTGATTGCATTCCTTGCTATTCTTGCATACAATGAAGTTCGGAATCGTTTGGCGAGAAACTGGTCCAAGAGAAAAGACTTGGAAACACCACACAGTCCTACCAGACCTGTTGCCACCGACATCAAGCCGTTCATTCCGGATTACATTTTGAACAAGTCTCTTGATTCCGTTGAACCCGATGCCATCGACGAAGATCTAGCGAGATTCAAGCAACTCTACTACAAGCTACACAATCTAGAGCACTACCCCGAAATTATACCCGAGTGCCGCGGACTGCTTTTAGAATTGTTCTCTTCGATAATTGCCGACGCAATCAAGGAACCAGACAACACTATCCTATCTGTCGAGCACTTTTCACCCGACAGCTTGAAAGACTTTCTTGCAGCAAAAGATGCCGATGTCACCAACCGATGGGAGGAGTACCTCGCTCGGCGGCGGGGTGGAGAACCGCGTGAGATGTTCGGAGACAAAGAGGAGGCGAAATGGTGGCTAAAACAAGCAGCCCCTGTCAAATACGTGGATGGTGCTTGGCTTGGACACATCAACAAGATTAGCACACCATTCAAGTACCGTCAGATTACCAAGAACGCTTGGCAGGTTATGTCAGAAGAACTGGGAGACGGGGATATTGCAAAGAATCATGTCCATGTCTATCGGGAGTTGATGGAAGACATTGATGCCAGGCTACCTGAGGCCAATTCGCAGGATTTCATTCATCCCCGTCATGGATTGAACGAAGTGCGTTGCTGGAAAGCCGCCATGGCCCAACTTACCATATCTCTCTTCCCACATGACTTTCTGCCCGAGGTGCTGGGATTCAACATGGCGTATGAGAGTCTACCTCTTCACCTGCTCAAGACTGTCAAGGAGCTCCGTGAACTGCGCCTGAATCCGTACTATTTCGAACTCCACATATCTATTGACAATGCAGACTCGGGCCATGCTGCCATGGCCATGGCCGCAGTGTCCAACTATATAAACTTAGTAGCAGAGGAACAAGGCGAAGAAGCGGCTCATATTGCTTGGAAACGTGTACAAGCTGGTTACATTCTCGCCGAGGGCTTACCTACGACACCTGAGAGTCCGTCACTCAAATCGAAAGTCGAGGAACCATTCCCCCGCACCGATACAGAGGCCCAAGTGGTGGCCATCTTTGCAGCCAAAAGCTCTGTAGCTCACAAAATTCACTGTAACAGCCGTCTCAAAATCGGCAGACGCTCCCTCATAGATTGGCTCGAACCAAACGCCTTCAAAAACCCAACATGGCAGCGCGACTTTCTCTACGACATCAGCAACTGCAAGCCCTGGGTAATCAAAGGCCACAGTGCCCAAAGCCGACTCATCAAAGAACTCTCCTGGGAAGGCAAAATGTTCGGCAGCTTCACCGAAAACGAAGTGGGCATCGTCTCCGCCTGGATCAACGAGCTCGCTTCCCCACCAGCCGCCGCAGTCTTCGCTTCAGACCTCCTCGCTGCAGAAAAAAAAGACTACCACCACTACTACTGGGACTTTACCGGCCAAATCTCCGAACCCGATGATAACAACAATGTCGATGTTGCCTTACGTGCAGAGCGCTTGGACATTCTTACCCACTACCCAGTTTTTCGCCTGCATGAGCATCTCACTGCGCGCCTGTCGAGCGACCTTGCGATAAACTGCGTGCCGAGGTTTGAATTTCGTAAATTGCATCTAGGCAGTCTGCTTCCGCTGTGGTTCGCTTCGCCGGCGCTTCTAGAGGGTCTACCGGCCGTGCCTGTCCGCGCGGCGAGCACGTTTGGATCTGCTGTTGTTCGTGTTTTGCGGGCTCAAGCTGGGTTCAGCGCCGAAGGCGCGGGTGTAGCGGGTATGGATGAGGTCCACCGAACTGATGGTGGCGAGGCGGTTGGCATCGTGGAACTTGGCTTGGAGTTGTGCCGTAATGCAGGCGTGAAGCAGCCGTGTAATTTGCGCAAAGTAGTGTCGCTGGGCGGGTCCGAGTCAGCTGCTTTTGCGGAATGGATGGTTGCGACGAGTATGCGGTGGCTCGTGCATCGGGACGTCCTTGTTGGTATGGCTTGGGCGTTTATGGAACTACATGAGGCCTGGGCCCAGTGCAAAGGGGAGGTCACGTTGTTATCTGCCAAGAGCATGTCGATCTTGCAGGAGATTGCGATTAGAGAGAGGAAGAGCCTTGAGGTGTGTAGGGGCGAGATATACCAGGATAAGCAGCGTCGGGCGGGTTTTCTCCAGGGAGCTGCAATAGGTCGGAGAGCCATTGAGTCATGTTTCACACAAGAGGAAGACGAAGTCACTCAAAGGTAGAGATGGATAGAAGTTTAAGATAAGATGAAGAATCAATTGATGCCTCGCGCAATGCCAAAGAGCCAAAGCCAGTGGCCCAAAATAATATATATACGAATTCCACCACAAACTGAGCTATATACAATCTCCCACACAAAAATTCATTTACAATGAAGGTACCTCGCGAAGAGCAGAGCGAAAAGCACTCTACTTCTTGAGGGTAAGGACACCGGGCCTGTAGGGGAGGCGGTCGTAGTCGCCGCCAGAGTTGGGGGCACGGCCCTGGTACAACAGCTGCAGGTTGCAAGGGTCGACGGTCATGGTCTCGTCGTTGGTGACCTTGACAAGGTCTCCGTGGGAGATGTCGTTGGTCCAGGTGGCACCGCTGTTGGCCTTGCCGGCGAAGGGGTTGCTCTCGGTGGCAGCGTTGGGGGTCCAGCTGCCGCTGAGGCTGGAGGCAGTGAAAGAGCGGAAGTAACGGCCGCCAGAGCCAATAGCCTCGACGAGCATGAGGTAACCGCCGCCGTTGACAGTGTAGACCTGGACAGCCTCGAAGAGGTTGTTAGTGCTGTCGCTCATGATGACGGTGGAAGCAGTGCCGAAGCTGCCAGGGAAGTTGGCCTTGGGCATGCTGGAACGGTAGATCTTGCCGTTGTCACCGGCGAAGAAGAGGTACATGTTGTTGGCGTCACCAATAACAGTCTGGTCAATAGCACCAGTGCTGCTGCCGGTGATCTTGCCAGAGAAGAGAGTCTGGACAGCACCCCAGCTGTTGGGGTTGGTGGGGTCGCTGGAGGTCCTGTAGGAGAAGGTGGTAGGTCCCCACTGGTAGGCCAAGACCCAGATGTTCTTGGGAGCGAAGCGGAAGAGGGTAGGGGCAACAGCGGTGAAGGATGTGCCGGTCTGGGAAGCAGAAGCCATCTCGTTGAAGCTACCGAAGGGGCTGAAAGCCATGGATCCGTACTTGGATCCGGTGTCGTGGTTGGTAGCATAGACAATGTGCTTGCCGTTAAGGCTGGAGATGGTGAAATCCTTCAAGTTGGCCCATCCGGACTTGGGCTGGGCAAGAGCGCCGGAGGAGGTCCACTTGTAAGAGGTAGGAAGCTTGCAGCTCTGGGCAGAAGCAGTGGAAGCCAGAAGGGCGACGGCAGCAGCCGAGAAGCTAAGGTCGGGAACGAAACGCATGTTTAGTTTTTTAGGGGGTTTGGTAGTTGGTGGGTTGAATGAGTGAATGTGTTGCTGGTAGGCTGGATGACTACTAGAACGAGGGCATGTATAAGATACTTATACGTCGAGCGATGCTGTCGGGCGTACGAATCAGAAGGCATGCCGTGTATCACGCCTCGCCCACCATAGCACCTGAGGATTGGCCGATTCGGGACTGGGCTCGGGAACACAGATCTCCTGAGCGTGGAAATTGATCATCCACATTATGCGTCTACTCTCGGTATGGCATATTGTTCCGTTGTTGTGGGTATATTAAATTACATGATGTTTCAAGGGAATTGACGCGACTGCACGGACGGCAATTCTCCGTAATGCGGGGAACGCACGGCAAAGGGCACATAGGACTCAGACTGCGGAAACAAGTGAGGCTGGGCGATTCCTTAATCTACTACTATATGCATGCTTAAATCCTAATGCACCCCATTCGCCTAACCCGTTAGCTTGGCGACTATGTTTTGACGTCGATGTCAATTCGTCTAGTCTACTCTACCGGCCGACTACTTACCAACACTGTGCCAACATGCTGCCAACCGCCTGGTTTGGGCTTCTTGAGCCAAACAAAGAAACTTGCCCTGCTGCGCTGATTGCCAGGCCCCAATCTCGGCAGTATTGCTCCAAAAAGTCCCACCGGGTGTTTACCAGAATCCGCGAGTGTTCCTATCGGATGCTAGTCCCCACTAGAGCGAAACGTCAACACGCCATGAAACACCCGGTGGCCGGAATCTAGAAGCATGGGTGCCAGTGGCGCAAAAGTGCCACCAGTCGAAGGCCTGCCTTTGCTGCGCCCACAAGTCAAGACTTGGACTTAGCGGGTTTGAGGTTTGGCATTGCTTGATTGATGGCGCATGGACAGCAGCTAGGACGCGAGAAATTGTCCCTACACCTACGTCAACAGTGCCCTGCGCCTTGATCACGCAAACTCGAAAACGACAATTATCGTGCTACAGCAGGGAGCCGCAGCAAGGAGCCTCAGCCCACTCGTCGGGACCGAACGCGAGCCGCCCAAAGGACGCGCATCCGCAGTTATGAAAACTATAACTGACGCAAGACTACCCGGCCATAAGCAAGGGGACTTTGCCACTAGGCACACTCTACTCCACTAAACAACTCTCACTTTCAATGGTCAGGAAACACGTGGGAGGAGGGTGAGCTTCTAGATCGACTCGCGGAATTTGTTCGGCCGCACAGATTAAAAAGTAGCGGTAACCACAGCGCTTGGATTGTGCGCGGTACTTAGCCTTGCCAAGGCGGTTGTGAGCGTTGCCAATGTAACTCGGCCCACCTACCAAGCCCATCTCTAAGGAACGTGCTGGACAAAAGATGCTCAAAACTGCTACTTGCACACCGGCTTTGTCTCCAAAGGGCGGATTTGTTACCGCCCAACCAACATTAAACAGTACGTGAAGAGTGATTTGCGCCATTTGGCCCCTGGTCAAAGTATAAGCCTGTATCAATCCTTTGGCAATCCATCAAATCTTGAACTTCCAACCTTCCTCCACACCGCTCGGCACATCTCCACTATTACACCGATAGAACACTACTTACAAATCTTCCGGAATTCGCCCGCCAATGGCAGTTCCTGCGAGGTTGGGGGCAAGGTGGATTCTCTCTATCGAGGGTTTTTCTCCACGTCGGCTTTTGAGCATCGCAAAGGCTAGCAAAGTAGGTGTGCTGGGCGCCCAGAATATGAGTGGGACCCCCCGAACACGAAGAGAGCAGCTCCTAAGAGATAAAGATGAAAATCCTACGTGGCGGTAACGGGGTTCCCCCATGGGGCAGTGATCGTGATAGGTTTAGGTGCATGCACTCCTGATTCCTTCTAGATGCGTGATGATGCTAGATTGCCGGCATATGCGCTATCTACGCTGTATACGTATATGAGTGATTATTTCCGACTGGAGGATTTTAGTCCTTCCATTTGGTTATTGGTTCATTTTGCCTGCTAGCCGCTTATGCAGTATTTGAATTGCCATACCTTTTTTCTCCATAGCTTTTCCCCATTGCAGATTAAAATCCGGCTAACATGGACTAAATACGGCATCCGAGGTTCAATTGAAAAACAACATGGACCAAGCAAATCCTCGTTCTCGATCGTTCTGACAAATGTTTCTCTGTTTCCTGACTCGAGCCTGGTCGTCCACGTTAAACAAAATGTCACTACACGGTGTAGCGTCTTCTATCCACCCCTTACAAAACTAGCCTTGAAAATACTTAGAGCCGGCTATTAATAGGCGTCTTATACATCACTAGTTGCACATAATAGCGCGTGCATCATAAGAACGCCAAACAACTCCCTTGTGCGCCACTACGAACGCTATTCTAGAATACGCACCGCCAAGAACCCCCAGTGACATGCGCGCACGTGACACGGCACTCCCGTATCCAAAACATCTGTAACAGTCGATGAAACAAAACAGGCTAACAACCGATGGCAAACGGGTCGGTCAGGCACCCAAGACTTTATTTGTGGTTTACGCGAATGCCGTCCTCACGTTCGTCGTTGCTCTGTAACGAGCTGTAACGTAAAGCTTACATTTAAACTTTCTGTTATCCCGCGATCGGCCAAAGTTAAAATGATACCGGCTGGATGGCACCATATCAACTCCCGAGCCTCTTCGCGTAGGGCTCCTCGGGACAATTACGAGGTCCCTGGTGTACTCCTACTTGCGGTTGCGCCTGGCTTTTACAAACTGTCATATAGACATGGTATCGCCAACTAATAGTCTGGAAGAACACTGATTCAATGTAGCGGTGGATATGCCTGTTTGGATAATTTATATATTGCTCACTTGTACGGTGGTGGTGTGATGTCTTCTTCATTTGCAGCGGTTTACTTATTAACTGGGTGTCCACAAAGTGCCCTGTTCGCAGAATAGGCTCTATCAAGCAATGTGCGCAAAGGCAGATACAACCGTGTTACATCATGGGCCCTGGTGTACTTGGATCTTTTTTTATACTTAACTACTTCGAATCAAAAGAATCGCCGTTGAGGGTCTAGCAATTGCATCCGCAAGTATAATGACTTGAAGCCCTTGCTGAGAGTGCATGTCGCAATCGAGAAGGATTGGCATGGCCCTTGACTTTAATGTTCCGAGAGAATACAAAATAAGTACGCTCAGTATAATGAGTTTTGCCACTCATATCTGTCAGACTGATCCTTCGTTGGTGGGAAAATATCCCGGAAATTCATGGGTGCCCGCAAGCTAGAAGTAATGCCTGACATGTAATCAATAAGACATCTGAAACACAGTGAGCGTGCGCACATACTGATGATTGTGTGGTCTCCTATATCCCAGTGCCTGTCTCGCCACCAACGGGGATGGCAACTTTTGAGTGTCCAATAAACACAGTTTCCAGTCACTTGTGGTCGAGGTCGATCTTGACCTTGTACATTTCCACCTTTTTATAGGTAGACGCCATCATCACCCTCATCTTGCACTGTGGTGCCGTTGGTGCCCTCTTCCCTCGCCGCGCCGTTCGCCGCAGCAGGCGCGCTTCCATTAGTCTTTCCCTCGTCTTCCTTTGGCCTCCAAGGCAGACCTCGCACGTCCTGTACCTCGTGCTTGATCGCCTCTTTCCTCTCTTCAAACCTCTTCATAACTTGCTTGTTTTCCAGAAGCGCCTCGTAGCAGTCCTTGTCGTCATGTTCGCGCGCAAACTCCTCAAGCTGCCGGTTGCTTGATTCGAGATGCACGAGTTGATTTGTGAGTTCTGAGTATTTTGCGTAGAGCGACTCAACAGAAAGATCTTCAAGCGCTTTTGAGAACCGTGTGAAGGAGATGGGCGCAGCGTCGGCAGACATGATTGATGTGGACACGGGAAACTGGCCTGGAATTGCGGATATGTTTCTGGGTTTTTGCAGTACTATGGAAGTGACAAGCGGTCTGTAGCTCTTCGTGGGAGAGGTTTTAAATGCAAAGATGCGATGGTGGCGGAGGCCCAAAGGTAAAGCTGCTATTGCCCGAAAGCTGTGGTGGGGTAACTGACGCCATGAACGATTGGCCCCACTTCACTCATGTTTATTGCAGTGAGTGGGCGATCACTAAGCAATATATGGAAACACCCTCCGATCATTTTTGATGTTGGTTTGATATGGATGCGCGGGAAAGGTGACTTGGCAAATATCTTCTTCGTATATTTATTTTTATATATTGATTGTATCTAAATCATGGCACTTTGGCGGAGTGGTTAACGCGCTGGCCTGCTAGTCCCGTTAGGGAAAGTCAGCCAGTTCCTTCGGGAGCGTGTGTTCGAATCACACAGGTGTCGCATCAACCACGCATTTCTTTTTTGCCTCTTGTGATGCCTTCTCTATAGTAACCATGTGGATGCTTGTTGAATTTTTGCTTCTTACATGAGATTTCAGCCCAGACGGTTGATGTCCCGGTTTGTGTGCCAATTTTTGCAGAACTTGATATTCATGCTAAATTCCAATAACATGAAGTATTGTGATTGACAAACAACACATAGATAGACATAGCAGCACTACCTTAATTTCCAAGTTCAGGAATTTAGCGGGTTGAGTTTTTGTAGGAGCGTTGTTATTCTTGGAGTACTTGTATGCTATGTATAATATTTCTCAATTAGGTAAATCCTCTTCATGACGCATGAAATTCAAATTAGCAGAAAGACATTGCACACATAGCTAGGGATCAATAGAACAACATCACGAATCAAATTTTCTTACAATTTAACAATACACGGTACTCAATTGATAGTCTCTGGTACTGTCTGCACTACCTACCTGGGTTCATACCAGGCATAAGATCCGGCTTATCGAGCACCATACCTCTAAGCAGAATCCACTGTCTCAAACCCTCCCATTCCTCGCCTTCCTCATCACCTCGTCTCCACTCCTCCTTGAACCCCCACGCACACGCAATGCGATCCAACGCCGCACGCTCATCCTCTCTCAGATAACGATCCAGAAGGGGGACACCAGGACGCCAGACAACGCGGTCGTGATGGTCGTTATATGTAGTCAAGGCGACAAAGCCAAGAGTACCAGTACACATAACGTAAGTACTCAGACCAGCGAAAGCGTAGAGTTTGAAAGTCCACGGGTCGATGAAACCGCTGTATACAGAAAGTTCCTGTGCAATCATGTAGAGAGCGAGGGGTGTGATACCCGCTAAAATTCCCGGAAGACCCAATTTGGTAACCATGCGGTGGCGCCGCCAGGCTGGGGCGCGGTAGGTGTGGTCGACGACATCCAAGGCTAGGGCAAGGTCCTTTGCGTCGATTGCAGCCGTGAGCGCCTCGTCGGCGAGATCGGCGGGAATGGCTTGCTTTGCAGCTTTGGGAGAGGGTTGGGAGAATTTGGGGGGTGAGGAGCCTTCGACTGGGACAGGCTTGTTGGCGTAGAGGTAGAGTGCTTCTGGGATGGTTTTTGGGCGGGCGAGGAGGCGCTGGAGGTGGATATATTGGGCGAGGATGTTGGGAGAGAGGAAAACTTTCTCGTGCTTGATTAGGTCTTCGGCAAGCTTGGAGAGGTAGGATGGCGATGGGAGTGCATCGAGGCCTAGCTGCTTTGATTTTCTTTTCTTTTCAGTCTTTTCAACGTCATCACTGCCCAGTCCGGAGAGTATTGCTCCCGCTGAACTCTGTCTTATGGGCCCTTTTGTTCGCAAGGGCTGTCGAGACCGTATCGCTATCGCATTTTGCGCAATCTCTGTTAAAGCTTCGAGTGCCTCCAAGACCTTTGCCTCTGGCTCCACTTTGGGGGAATCGTAGATTTCTTTTATTCGAGCCTCCACCGCGGCCAAATTTGTTCTCAGCGTTGCGATGCGCTCCGACGTCTGGAAGCTTTCGTCATCGCCTCTTTCAGCTGTTGGTGCCGCATTACGAGCAGTCGTCGTAATACTTCGTTCGTGTGCGCGGTTAACTAGAGAGGATGATGGCGCAGTTTGCCGCCGTGTCGCGGGGGCCTTGACGGCTGATGTGAAGCGGAACGCGCGGCGACTTCTAGGCTGCCGCAGTATGTAGTCGCACAATTGACATACTGGGCGCGATTGGGGGCGCATTGGTAATTTTCCAGGGTTCATCGGATGTGGTCGAGGCCACAGCGGGCGCGGTGAAGGTCGGGTGACGCAGCGGTGGGCGGCCGAGGATTGGGATGCCAGCTGCCAAGCTGTGACGGAATGTTCCCACCACAACCATCACTCGATCACCACACTCTGTCACACGCCAACACTCGCAACTAGATAGCGAGTGACTGCACATATATCCAGAATCTTTGCAAGACAGCAAAAAACAGCAAAACCAAATCGAAGCGCGGCACATATTCCACCATGCCACCACCACCCCCTCCGCCTCCGCCCATGCCGCCCATGGGTCGAGGAGCTGGAGGGCCACCGCCGCCACCGCCTATGCCGGGGATGAAGGCGCCGGGAGGGAAACCGCCGTCAGGAGCAGGAAGAGTACGTTGCATCCATGGCGGGGGCAGGCCAGACACCGCGCCTCTGGCTGTTGGGCATCAAGAGAGCTATCGCTAATGGGACACAGGGTGCACTTTTAGGAGACATCAGCAAGGGCATGAAGTTGAAGAAAGTCACACAAATCAACGATCGGTCGGCGCCAATAGTAGGCAAAGTGAGCGGTGGGGCGAGTGCAGCGCCCATGGGGGCACCAGCAATTCCCGGTATGGGCAAGCCGCCTGCAGTTCCTGGGCTTGCGCCGCCAGTTCCTGGAGGAGGAAACCGCGCGAGAAGCAACAGTGATACTGATAGCGGTGCCGGACTGGCCGCACCACCACAGTTGGGAGGGTTGTTCGCGGGCGGCATGCCCAAGCTGAGGAAGTCGGGCGGTGTCAAGACTGGCGCGGACCAAGACCATGCGCCATACCTCTCAGATCCCGAATCAAATCGCGCTTCAGCGCCCGCACTACCACGAGGAGCAGCACCAAAGCCTCCGGGAGCGCCCCCCTCAGCTCCTCCTGCGCCGCCAGGTGTACGGCCAGGTATTAACGCTCTTCGCGGAGAGTCGCGGCCGTCTTCAGTAGCCAGTATCAGTGGAAAGCCCAAGCCACCACCGCCAATTGGAAAGAAACCACCTATCCCACCTCCCTCGTCTCGAAAGCCATCTAACCTTGCTCCTCCACCGCCAGCTCCCTCTCCAGTTCGCCCACCGCCCTTGCCAGGAAGCGCTCCTCCTCCACCGCCTCCAGTTTCCACACCTTCCGCACCACCACCACCACCACCGCCGCCTCCTGCATCAACATCGCCACGGCCCGCTGGACTTCCTCCGGCGCCCCCTCCTCTACCTCCTTCGCCAGCGCCACGAGCACCAGCGCGATCGACACCACCCCCACCACCTCCACCGGATGACGACGAGTACGACCCGTATAAATATAACTCTCACGCACCCTCGGCACCTGCACCACCACCACCGCCTCCGAATGGCCATACGCCATCACTCGCAGAGATAGCAGCCCGAAACAATGCCTTTGGTCACTCAACACCCGCCGCACCGCCGCCACACCCTCCAGCCTCACCCCCAAGCGCCCCCGCGCCCCCGCCGCCCGCCGTCGCGCCCCCAAGCCGATCATCCACCCCCTCGCGCTCCATGATGGACCCAGCCTCGTACACACTGACAAACGGCGGCGGATCAAGCACCAAGAGCCACAGCAGTTCCGGTGGTGGCGGCGGCGGCCAAAAAGGAAGAGTCCGACCCATCCACGACTTGCGCTGGCGCTTCCAGGACGAAGGCCAGTTTCCCCGCCCCCGCGAATTCACGGGTTCCACGAAGAAATATCGCGCTGGAAGGGGGAGCAGTGTTCCGTTGGATCTTAGTGCTTATGAGTGAAAATGTCTTTGGTTTTGCTTCAACAAAACAAAAGTTTCCAGAGGGCAAAGAAAAAAAGCTTTTTTGAGGGAGGGGGGGGGATGGAACCATTGTTGGCAAGTGCGGGGGTCGTTCCCTTTTTTTTGGCTGGGTCTTCGTTTTTGGGGATGGTTGACTAGTTTTCATGGCGGGGTAAAGGGGGCGGAAGAAGGGGGGGGAAGGGAAAGGGCGGCTGGGAAAATACAATTGTTGACGTTTAGCCTTGGCGTTCTGGGCGCTTTGGTGGCTGGTCTCTTTTTTGTTCTTCTTCTTTTTTTCTTCTTTTTCTTGGGGGGGGGGGGGGGNGGGTTCGCAGATGTAAGGGGCGTGTATTGCATTTTGGTAGATGGGTGGATTGTTTGTTTGTTTGTGTGTGTGTGTGTGTGGGAGAGAATGGGAGAAATGAAAATGAAAATTGTGTCTTTGTTGTGCGTGGATGTGTATTTAGTCTTTTTTTTTTTAACTTGTGGTTGATGGGAAGGGAAAGGGCATGTCACGTGTTTGGGTGATATTAATGTCATTTGTGAAGTTGCATGGTGAGTGCAACAGGATATGTTGTACATATGGGGCTCAAGTGGGGAAAAGGTTTAGAATAAGAGACATGAATTTGACTATTAAACATTGATTGATCTCGAGTAAGCATCTCCATCAGACGAGACGTGATATCTGCCCCATTCTCTCCTGACCACCAGGAAGTCTCTCATCCTGGAACCAAACCAATCTTCACAAGTGCCATCTTCAAAACCCTACACAATTCATCCCCAATCCCTCACGCCAACCGACTCAAGTACCCAGCGACTCAATACTCGATTCGATCAAAATCGCCCTCCTCCAACGCAACACCGCTCAAAATCTTGCCCATATGCGTCTTCTCGACACCCTCACCCTCGCGACGAATCTTCATGAGCAAGACGCTCAAAAAGGGTACAGGCGACTTTGTGAGGCCCCATTTTCCAGTTGGAGGATCAATGAAGCCATCGGCGTACACCTGTTGGCCTTCTTCCGCCCTGCCTTGCAGGAGACCCAGGAAATCGCAGAGCTCGTTGTACTCGTCTAGAGAGCGCAGATAGAGACTGCCAGCGAATAGGTTGAGCTGCATAGTTAAGCTGCGCGAGATAGAGCCTGGAGTGAATTCATGACCGATATTGTACAGAGTGAGCTCGTCGAGGGACGCGTAACTAACATTGGCGCGGGCGGCGAACAAATGGAGCGTGACTTTCTTGTGTTCACGGATCAATGGCAACAATTGATTCGCCTCGTAGGGGCTGATAACAATGAGATTGCCGACATTCTCTGGGCGACATAAATCCGGTACAGAGACTACAAATTGTACTGGTCGCTGATATGAGTCTGAGATGAAAGAGGCGCGGGTCGAGCCTGGAGGTGCGTGGACTGTTTGCATGAAGTCCAGTGTTACCAACAAATCGCAAGGGAACTCTTTCAGATTGGTAAGTCTCCTTGCACTAGTCGTTTTCAGTGCTTGAAACGCTGGCCTCCATGCTTCCAAGCCGGTGACGAATTCACCGGTAGTAACTAGCCGCCTGAGATGTTCATGGACTTGATGCTTTAGAGCGTCCAAGCGTGGAGGGCGTTCGATCTGTCGCTCTTCTTCGATTTCGGGCGCAAGTTCCCTCTCTTGCTCTTCACTCAATGTAGCAGATCCAAAGTTCATGGCCTCAAAATCGCGGCACCGTGATACAATCTTATCGATGTTGGGATTACACATGTCCCAGTTGCTGAGCTGTGTGAACCGATTTGTATCCTGAGTCCGAGGCTTGTAGCGCGTTTCCAGATCAACGGCTTCATTCTCCAGGAAAGCTGTCGCGTCATCCTTCGTAGTGTTGGCGCCATTTATGAGGTTCTTGTGTCGTTCAAACCGTTCGCCTTGTACTGCCCACAAGGGGAGACTCCTTTTCAAATCAGTCCATGTCTCTCCGATTGCCCATGACAGTACATCGCGAGCATCGATTTGGGCATCTGAAGATTTTCCAGTCCGCTCATAGATCTTGGTTTTGATCTCCGCGGGTACAATAAAGGTAATGGCTTGTCCATGGCCCAATTTTCTCATCCGCATTGCAGCTTGTGTAAGACGGTCCTTGCTCAACTGGCTACCCAATGTAAGTGCAGCGCGGTAATGACGTGGGAGCTTCAAGTCTGTTCCACGTGTATGCGCCTCGTCTAGGTAGACCAGGCATGAATCTAGCATTTTGGCATAAGGCGATGTTTGGAATGAATCGACGCGAGAGCTTCGATCGAGCACTGCCAACTCTTCATTCTCGAAGTAGACTACCGCCTGGACCTCGCTGCTGCGCATCTTCAGCCATGTCTCAGCAACCTGTCGATTGTTTTGTTCAAGGATTGAGGCTCCACAATCCAACAAAACCCTGACACCTGAGCCCAAGCTCTCAATGAATGTCAGCAGATGCTCACCATCACTGGTAGCGCTGCCGATTTTGCGCACGGGCAGAATTTTCACCGAAGTCTCGTCCATTAACAGATATGACAACACCTGTGCGTTGGTATGGTGTTGGCTTGGCAGGTCAAGATGTTTGATGTTGAGTGGGAGTAGATGCAGGGTATCGTTTGTACCAGAAAATCCGGCCGTTGGGTGCGGCTTCGTGATCGCGAGGTCCCAACCTGACGCACTAAGCTTCTGAGGAAATTGCTTGAGTTCCTTAGGAAAGACCAAACGTGCAAGGTAGTAATCTATTGCGTTCTTCGAATGTCTCAAGCTAGGAAACACATCTGTCATGCACTGGTGTCGATCTCGAATACTAATCCCGGAAAGTTGTTGAAATGCCTTTGGCAGAGTGGAAGATGCAGTGCGAACAAACCCATCATAGTATATGGCTGATTGGTCAGATCTCAAGATATGAATGATCGTGTCGAAGAGTTCATTGTCGGCCAACCCCTGATAGTAGTATGACAGGAGCGTGAGAATGATGACGACGTCAGGATGGGAAAACTCAGACCTCGGTGAAGGCGAGTCTTTACTCCTATATGGCACCTGTTTACATCAAGTCAGTATATGCTTTGTGCAATAGAAGTTTGAGCATTTCACTTACTGCGAGTGAAGTATTGGGCGTACGGGAATGATCTAGTCCAAAATTGACTCGGTACCGTTTGGTTGTGAATATGAATCGAAGAACACCATCAGCAAACAAGCCGCGTAGCAACAGTAGAGGACACTTCGTAGTCTCGGTCCAGAATTTGCTTTTCTCAA